TAATGGCTAAAAAGTATTTCTAAATCCTTAAGACCTATGAAATCTTCCAACTGTAACCAAGTTAAGTTACACTTCCATTTTTCCCGTCCCATGTTAATTTCTCTCTGAACTGTTGTATTGAGGGGATTTGAAAAGTATTCGTTATACTAAATACATTTGAGAGAATCTTATTTTGATTTAATCAAAACTATATTAAAAACATCAAAAATGTAAACAAATAAAAAATTCAGTATGTGTTTGTGTGTTCATGTATCTGCACATGTGTTGTTTTTATAAAGCCAGTTATCAGTGCTGAGCATGTAGAGCTAAGGTTAAAAAAAAAACCTTATAGTTTGTCAGTCCTTGAGTTTTCCTTGCTAACGCAGTTATAAACATGGATGGCTGGTTTAAAGTGAAGAAAAGCAATATTAATTTTGAGAAGGGTTTCCTTACATGCATTTTCAGTAAACCATTTCTTTTTAGTGATCATACGCTTTATGCACTCTCTGTATAACACATCATGCCTGGTTTCATCAGCAATTATAAAATGTCATCTTCTAAGATGTGATAAACTCAGCAGGTTAAAATGGATGCACTTCACTAAAGCCCTTGACTCTAGCTTTAAGTAAAACTTTTCCTATTGAATAGATTAAAAAATACATTAACAAAGGGGAAAAATCAGCTAGATTCTTGTTTTGCAATATTGCATAGTCAGTAATGCATACTCAGGGAATCTATAAAGTATGACGTGTTGTTTTTGCCTTGTCGATATTATCAGACATAAATAGAAAATATAATATAAAAATATAGAGTCTGAAAAGTATAGTTTATCAGAACACAATATTAAAATGTATAATATAAGGATACTGCAATCTCCTTTTAAACTGTAAAAATGGTCATGAAAGTATAATCTCTAATAAGATTTCCTGTTTCCATAACAACTAGCACAGTGCTAGGCATGTAATAAATATCAATATGGAAAAGTTATGAAATGATAAAAAGATTCTAATTTCTAGGCTTGGAACTTTCACTGCTTCCTTAGAAAACTCAGTATCCTAAGATAGCAGTTTTAGATGATCATTTTAAAAGTGTCTTGTGTCCTATGAAGATTAAATGACTGTACTTTCTTTGCATTCTATTTAATCAGTTTAAGTTATCATCAGGTTCACAGATACCCATGAATATATTTGAGGTTGAGCATTTTTTTTATCAGGTCTATATAGAAGAGGGGAATCACAGACTTTTTACCTTTTATAATTGGTGGTGATGTGTTGTTCAAATCTACCTTATCATTTTGGATTTGCCTTAAGGGTAGTCATCATATGTTAACA